ATAAGGGCAAACTTGAAATCACCTTTAACTCTTGAACACAAAGGCACAGCCACCTTGGTCCCACCAGCTTGGGTTCTGGATTTAGATCAATTCAGTCAGACCCAAAGATCAAATACTTCAGTCCTTCAAGCACTTGTATGTAAATTTTCCTCACTTGAGTATTCCCATTAATTTAAATGGGATGATTTGTGTGTTAAGTACACATACATTTGAAGGATCTGGGCCTTAATAAAGTGAAACATTTTTCTGGTCACAGATATTGGTATAGGAATAATACAGGTTGAGAGTGGGAGCATGGTAGCTGTACATACTACATATTTCTACAGTGGATAGACCATTTATAAGCAATCCATCCATGTTTTAAAACTGTAAAAAATGAAGTTGAACATTTAGAACTTTGCTTTCTGCAACTATCCTTTCTGTAATAAACATACAGTACTAGTACCTCTCCATGGTTCTGATTGTGCAAACCTGTGCTCATGGGAATGAATAATCTTTACTCGCAGGAGGAAGAGTTTGCAAGATCAAACTCCACGAGATGGGATAGTGTACAGCTTCAAGGGTTCTCTCCTAGTACCTAGGTTTCTTGTAGGATCAAGTCCATATTCCTTGAATAGTTGAAACGCAACTATATACAAAGAGAGCTGAAGTGTGGACGTAAGATTTTCCAATAATAATAAATAATAATAATATATTTATCATGCCCTCCAGAGTCTGCAAGTTCAAGTCCCTGCTGAATGGAGAACAAAGTGGTCTATTTTAAAGTAATGAGATGTCATATTAATTGTGTTGTACCTGTTGTCAATGGTTATATTGTAACAATTAATTTCTAGTTCTTGAGTGGCACAGAAATATTCGGTTTTAGTAACTGTGCCACAGCTGTAAGACAAAAATGAACTTTAAGATGTATCAAGGATTGATAAAAATACAAAGAATAAAGGTAATGGGAAATAATTTAATTTTAGTTAAAACTGTCTAGAACAGAAAAAGATACATCAAAAACCGGACAACACCCCAAAACAAAGCCCCAAAATTCAACTTCCCCATCAGTATTTTACAAGCAATTTAGAGCCTGATACTGAGATACTGACTGAGCAAGCTATTATAGTCTTATGTATTTACTTTTTTATTTTTTGAGGTGCTCAGTTACTACAGTCATGGTGTCTCATAAAAACTTATTAGATAAATTGGCAGATAGATGGATCAATCACTGACAAAAAAGAAATCCAACTACTTTGTTTTTGAGAATGCTGTTTAAGTTTTCCTGCTCTTAGGAACATATTAAATCCTTTGAGTGAAATCCTGGCCCCACAAAAATTAAATGGAATTTTGCCACTGATTTTAATGAGGCCAGGATTTAACCCATTGTACACTATTTTGAATTCATTATCTGTTGAAACATTGCTGTTTTGCCGAGTGATGCGTTTCTTTTCTCCAGTTTTTTAATAGATTTTTTAACACTCACACTGCAGTGAAATTCTGCTCTCTGCTGTGCAAATGGTGCTTCCATAAACAGGTCAAAGGGAGTCACGTGCTTGCATATTAGTTGTGTATGTGAATACAGGTATTGACCTCTAGTAGTATTTGTATTTTGATTCTCTAAGGTGAACTGAAAAGCTATCTTTATAAATAAGTAACTTGCATCCCCAAATAAATATAAAATATGTATAGATGATGTGGAGAATACAAATAAATATATTGTTTAAATAATTGGAAATTATTGTCTCCTTGATTACTTATCTGCCGAGTCCTAAGGGCTTAATCCTGCAAACGCTTACTACTAAACTTAGTGTTTAATACTGTGGACGGCCCTATTGAAGTCACCATTTTAGTGTCTAAGTCTTATGGCACTAAAGTACTACTCTTTTAATGTCTGCAGGATTGAGCTCTAAATTAGAAAACTGCATTTCCCCTGCAAAAACTGATGCTATTTCTATCTCTTATAGTAGAACAATACAGAAGAAACACAGACCTTGAAAATCAGGTCTTGAAAGGCAAAATGTTTCTTATTTTTATTAATGGGGAGTCTGAATGCATATATTCACAAACAAAAGGGGGAAAAAACAAAAAAAAATCCTACTACATAAAATGAGTTAAGATTGAGTAGTTATCAGTAATTAAAGGGCAAAAAAAACAAAAACAAAAAACCCAACCAACCAATCCAAACCACCACCTCCTTATATTAAAAGGATGATAATGCACATTTAAGGCATCAAAGAAATCTATACCTTACCTTGTAGTTACACCATGCAATCATATTGCTTGTGACTAAGGCATTTTACTATTTGGGTTCCAGTTCAAGCTAATTTTTTTAAATCACTTCAGTTTGGATATTATTCATTTTAAGAGGTTTTATTTTGGGGGGAAGGGAAGTTTGCACTGCTCCCTGCCCCTCGCCTTCAGGGTGTCACTATAGAGTACAACTGAAAGTACAATTTGGCTATCAACATTGAACGAGTTTGATACACCTGATTATAAGAAAAAAGCTGTAAATTTTCTTCCTTCATGCCATGCATTCCTTGTTAGGATATAGATTATCTGTCTGCAAAGGCCTGTACTTAAAGAATTTAGGTGTATTCTTATCACTTGGCTAGTTATGGAGGTATAAAAGAAAGAATCAAAATCACTGTCTGCTGGTGTAAGGTCCTTCTCTTACTGTGACAGTCTGAGGCCCTGTTCTTAGGCTAATGCCTTTGGCTAAGCAACAGGCAGCCATAAACTGGGAAGGTTTCAGAGTAACAGCCGTGTTAGTCTGTATTCGCAAAAAGAAAAGGAGTACTTGTGGCACCTTAGAGACTAACCAATTTATTTGAGCATAAGCTTTCGTGAGCTACAGCTCACTTCATCAGATGCATACTGTGGAAAATACAGAAGATGAGCTTATGCTCAGATAAATTGGTTAGTCTCTAAGGTGCCACAAGTACTCCTTTTCTTTTTGCATAAACTGGGAAGCGATCGGTCACATCCTCACATTCCAAACTAGTCACACTGAAAGAAGGTATTATTGGGCTGTTAGGAATACAATCTTGTCCTGATACTGCCTATCACCTCCAGAGAAAGGAAAGTGCCTAGAAAATGTAAAAGAAAACTTAGTTTGATAGCATCCTGCCTGGCAAGAACCCACTTATCAATAGCTAGGATGTGAAATCCTCACTTCTGTATTGTTTTGTTCCCACTTTGCTATTGTTTGTCTGTATAATCTCTGTCTGGTTCTGTGATTGTTCCTGTCTGCTGTATAATTAATTTTGCTGGGTGTAAACTAATTAAGGTGATGGGATATAATTGGTTACATAATTATGTTACAATATGTTAGGATTGGTTAGTTAAATTTCAGGAAAATGATTGGTTAAGGTATAGCTAAGCAGAACTCAAGTTTTACTATATAGTCTGCAGTCAATCAGGAAGTGAGGGGGTGGGTGTGTGGGTGGGAAAATGGGAACAGGGAATGGGGGTAAGGAAATTGGAATCATGTTTTGCTAAGGGCAGGAATGGGAACAGGGACACAGGTGTAAGGCTCTGTGGTGTCAGAGCTGGGAAGGAGGATACTAAGGAAGGAAACTGGAATCATGTTTGCTGGAAGTTCACCCCAATAAACATTGAATTGTTTGCACCCTTGGACTTCGGGTATTGTTGCTCTCTGTTCATGCGAGAAGGACCAGGGAAGTAAGTGGGTGAAGGAATAAGCCCCCTAACATTCCTCATTAAATTCCGTGTTATCTACAAGGAAGTACAAAGTTTTCTCTGAAACATAGTGCTACACCATTTAACCACAGAAGGTTTTCCAACGTTCGGAAAAATTAGTACTTAAAAAGCACATTAATAACTCTGTAATATGAGCATAGTAGCAAGATTTTATGATACTGTCTGGTCAAAATATACTGTGATTTACAAGCGACAATTGTAAAACTGTGTGGCATTTAGTCTATATCTGTTTATATAAATGCTGTACACATTAATTTGATAATCAGAAGCAAAATGTATCTGTTTGAGATCCCAAGAAGAAAAGGGAGAGGAAACAAACTAACAAAAAAATTGCAGAATCTGGAATATAAATACACTCAGCACTTTCCCTTTATAAAGAAAAGGGAGGTTTGACACTTAAGGTTTGATCCTATGAGACTAAATTTTATGTGTTTCAATGTAATTAGAAGCATATTATGCATTGTTCCAATCAAGGGTATTACAAAACTGAGCTGTGTGTGGTGTCATATATTGTGTAAAAGTTCTATGGTCCTATATATAAAAACTTGAGATAATTAACATTTTCCTTCAAGTTTTCATTGAGGCCACAACTTTTTCTTTTAATTTCTTCTTCACAGCCTCATATTTCTCATGCAGTTTTGTTTCCACCATATTCAAATCAGATCCCTAAAAAATTCTGCCATCATAAAACAAACAAACAAACAAACAAAGAGGTACTTCACAAGCCTCTGTTCCCACTTTCATCAGTTCACAGTCATTCCAAGAAAATCCAAAGGTAATCTGTCCGATTGCCCATACAGTCTCAACTATGAAATGATATTATTAGAAAACAATTTTCCAGTTTTTCAGATGCTAGCAATAAATAGCATTAAGGAAACTGTTTTTACTTCAGACAAGAAACAGTCCATAACACTTTGGGATGATTTGCATGGGTTTAATTTAGGAAGACTGGTTTTAAGTACATTTGTTACTATTGGCTACCATTTCATTGCACAGAAGTGCTCAAATCACCTTCATATTAACAGAACAGTTCACTTAAAGAAAAACACTGATGATTAAAAACTGCATAGCTTACTGTATTGAAATCAAATCCCATAATATGCACTTTAAATTCAAGATCATTTTAATGAAGGAAACATATTCTTGTTTTCACTAGTTACTAAAAGGCAGAATCATTCATTAAAACTGTAAGAACACATTAGAAATTTTATCACATTTTAAATGCCAGTTATCTGTATACAAATTCTTAAATATTGCCCCTAACAATAACCCTCATTCTTATGAGTTAACGTACTTACCTTCTTCATCCCTATGACTAATGAATAAACTTCATGTAGCCTTCAGCCACTGAATTTTAGACTGAAGTTTCCATACACCACACAATCAGATAAAGCTTGCTTTGCAATTGCAGTTAATGGAAACAGTGCTAAGAAACAATTACTACAAATTTCCACATGCTTAAATTGAAAAGCTTTCAGAGAGAGGAACAGGGTGATTGACTGTGAAAACTCTGGTGAACTGTTTTTATTGTAATGAAATTGAAGAGCTTGTGTTACCTTGTAATCAGGAACTTGTGCCTTCATCTGCTTTCAGTTGCAAATCACAGTAAATAAATGATTAACATTCACAATGTCACTTACTTGGATTTTCAGCAACAGTTCAGGATAACATTCCAATGATAACAAAATGTTCCGTTTTACAATAGTTTATTGTGTATGTACACTGCCACCTACAGTTTCAAGGTTATAACTGTATGCTCTGAAATAATTAACCCAGCCAAATGTACAGGTTGGTCTAAAAGTTATTTAACATCATAAGAACGGCCATACTGGGTCAGACCAAAGGTCCATCTAACCCAGTATCCTGTCTTCTGACAGTGGCCAATGCCACGTGCCCCGTAGGCAATGAACAGAACAGGTAATCATCAAGTTATAGAGTAATGGTGTTAATCCTGTTTCCTGGACAAATTTAAATGTGAACATTACAATCTACCTTAGAATTCTACCTGTGGTTTATCTGACTCAGGGCCTAGAGCAGCATCTTTACTAGGATTAAAGATTTTCAAATGAGGGCTCATAGATTTAGAGATGAAGAAAGGAACCATATAGGCAATTGTTACCAATAATTATTTCATTCCTCATTCTTGTCTTCACCTCAACCCTTATTCTCAGCCAAAGTGCTAAGGAAAAGGTGAAAGAAAGTCAGAGATAGAGACTTATAAAACCCTATTTCCAAAGTTTGTGTTTGGGGAGAAGAAACAAAGAAACATGTTGGGAGTTCCCTATGTAGCAGCTTTGCATGTATGTCAGAGTTGGGTGTTGCCTCTTTCAGCACAAAATTAAATATGGACATTCCTACAGTAGATCTTGCCTGGCTAAAGCCAGGCTAGTGAAGTATCCTGGTTTTGTATATTTCCTGAACAGTAGGCTTGATCCATCAGAGCAGAGTGGACATATGTTAGGTATGTTCTGGATATGGCATGGAAACAAGTGGATATTGGTTTCCCTAAAATCACCTCTGTTTTGAAGAGAAATTCTTATACCCTTAACAAAGCTGGAAAAGAACATCTGCTGTTCTCAAACTTATCTTTTTGGTTGAGTTGTTCTGGATGATTTAGTTGGGGATTGGTCCTGCTTTGAGCAGGGGGTTGGACTAGATGACCTTCTAAGGTCCCTTCCAAGCCTGCTATTCTATGGTATCTATGAAGTGATCCATCCCATCACCCATTCCCAGCTTCTGGCAAACAGAGGCTAGGGACACCATCCCAGCCCATCCTGGTTAATAGCCATTGATGGAGCTATTCTCCATGAATTTATTGAGCTCTTTTTTGAACCGTTATAGTCTTGGTCTTCACAACATCCTCTGGCAAAGAGTTCCATAGGTTGACTGTGTGTCGTGTGAAAAAAATACTTCGTTTGTTTTAAACCTGCTCCCTATTAATTTCATTTGGTGACCTCTAATTCGTGTGTTATGACGAGGAGAAAATAACACTTCCTTATTTACTTTCTCCACACCAGTCATGATTTTACAGACCTCTATCATATCCCCCCCCCTTCATCCTCTCTTTTCCAGGCTGAAAAGTCCGAGTTTTATTAATCTCTCTTCATGCGACGGCCATTCCATACCCCTAATAATTTTTGTTGCCCTTTTCTGAACCTTTTCCAATTCCAATATATTTTTTTTTGAGATGGGGCGACCACATCTGCACACAGTATTCAAGATGTGGGCATACCATGGATTTATATAGTGGAAATATGATATTTTATCATCAATCCCTTTCTTTAGGATTCCCAACATTCTGTTCGCTTTTTTGACTCGCTGCACATTGAGTAGATGTTCTCAGAGAACTTTCCATAATGATTCCAAGATCTTTCTTTAGTGGTAACGGCCAATTTTGACCCAATGACGTATGTATAGTTGTGATTATATTTTCCAATGTGCATTACTTTGCATTTATCAACATTGAATTTCATCTGCCATTTTGTTGCCCAGTCACCCCGTTTTGAGAGATCCTTTTGTAGCTCTTTGCACTCTGCCTGGGTCTTCACTATCTTGAGTGGTTTTGTATCATTTGCAAATTTTGCCACCTCACTGTTTACCCCTTTTTTCAGATCATTTATGAATACGTTAAATAGGACTGGGCCCAGTACAGATCCCTGGGGGACAGCAGCATCACCTAAGGAACACAAGAATTGTTTTATCACACCAGTAGTCCATCCAATCTAGTATCATCTCTAACTATGCCATACCAGATGCTTCAAGAAAACATGCAAGAATTATGGGCTAACATGCTCCTAGCATAAGTGTCTTCCTACAACCTCTTCCCCCACAAACTCACCCTAAGGATCCTCTACATGCTTTACTTCTGGGGGAATTCTGCACCAAAAAATTAAAAATTCCGTGCACAAAATTTTGAGCTGTCTGAGGAGATATCTGAGCCATTAGTGATTATCTTCGAAAAGTCATGGAAGACTGGAGAAATTCCAGAGAACTGGAAAAGGGCAAATACAGTGCCCATCTATAAAAAAAAAAAATAAGGACAACCCGGGGAAGTACAGACCAGTCAGCTTAACTTCAGTACCTGGAAAGATAATGGAGAAAATAATCAAGCAATCAATTTGTAAACACCTAGAAAATAAGCAACAAGTTAGCACGGATTTATCAAGAACAAATTGTGTCAAACCAACCTAATAGCTTTCTTTGACAGGGAAACAAGCCTTGGGGGTAGGACGGAAGTGGTAGATGTGGTATATCTTTACTTTAGTAAGGCTTTTGATACGGTCACGCACGCCCTTCTCAAAAAAAACCAAAAACTCCTTTGCCAACTAGACACTTAAAGGGGCATTGTGCCCAAAAGCCATTAAGGGGTATGATTTGTGTTCTAATCTTGAGAATGAGAAGAGTTCTGTGTCTTGTACTAAAGAACACATGACCTAGGAGTGAGAATCCTGCACAGATATATAGAAAAGAATCATACTCGTAACCAAATTTGCCTTTTCAGCATATGTAGTGTAAGATGTTTAATTTCACACACACACCATTTTTTTAAAAAAATTCTAAATTCTTCTACCTCACATTTTCTTACCTGGAATTTTGAAGGTAACTGTAGCACCTTTTGAAACAGTAATTAGTTCTAGTCAGTGTTTGGTTCAATAGGCTGCTAAATAACTGGGTAGTGGAGTATGACCATAACCTTTGTGAATGTGCATGTTATTCATGTTTTACAGAAACACTGCCAGAAATATTAGCTTAAAACATCAAATTAAAAGTAATTTTAAGTACTACGCTTGCACCTGACTCCCTTGAGAGTCTGATTTTATAATATTTTCCTATTTTTAAAAATGATTTTTCTACTTTGCTGTTGGGTAAATAAACCACAAGAACTTATGGAAATAGGGAGACTGGCCACACACAAAGATGTCATCAAATACACAAAATAAACCAACTACGAAAAAAAAGAAAAATCTTACTTTCTACTAACTTCTTTCAGTTATAGTAAACAGATGTTACTGAAAAGCACATAATTTAAAAATTATGCACAATTGACTTTTTAAAAAAAATTGACTGTGTCCCTTTAAATCCAAGATACTGTAAAACTTAAATAAAAATTATACAGTCAAAACAAACACTGAAAGCTTTAAAAATGGACCTCGATATAGTAGCAATGATTAGAGCATTAGATACACCTCTGGAGATGTAGGATCACATACAAATTAAAATGAAATTTATTTTGTTTTGCTATAGTGCAACTGAGGTCTAGTCAAATAAAAACACCAACACAATCTGACAAATATCCAGAAATACTGGCCACTTGAGTTCAAGAAGTCTATTTAGGGAAACGGAGCAAAGGGGAACATTGAGGAGAGAACCAGGATACACTGAAGCAGCATGGTAAGAAAGATTTCCAGCAAAAGCTTCATGCTATGCCCAGGTCTAGCCCCTTTCTTCACCTCTGTGCGTACCACAAAAAAATGAATTCAAACTGCACACAGTGTAAAAACTGAAGACAAAGTACAAACACTAAAGGATTTTCGAAATGTTTACTAAGTAGGCCATCCAACTTAGTACTGTAACCAAACATATCCAAGCAATAACAAATTACAATTACATGAGTAACATTCTGAAGACAGAAGAAAAGATGGGTAATTTAAATATAGTACAAAAATGCTCAAATATACATTGAAAACTTTATTGTTCTTTAGCAAAATAAGTTTTATTAAAAATTCACCAAAACCTTCTCAAAGCAGATATGATACCAACAAAAATATCTCATTTCCAGAATACTTGGAGACAAATCACATGAAATCAAAGTTCACCAATAAGACATGACATCTAATTTCGGACAACTATTAGTGACAAAAGTGTATCAAATAAAAAAAAATGAGCACTAAGGTCCCATTCCTGCAGCAGCACATGAATTTAATGGGACTACATAGGTGTGAAAAGTTATGTACGTGCACAAGTCTTTGCAGGACTGGGACCTAAATCACTCAACCCTGAAAAAGCGTGCCTGATCATTTCACTCTGCTCTTCTTGTCAGCTTTGTACATCTCAGGCAGTTCAACTCCACAAAATGCTCTAATCCCAATGACAACAAAAAATGGGAATAGCACTAACTTGAGCACGTGAAAAAGAAAACAATACACTCATAAGCCACCTACTGATTCAAGTTATCACTAGTGAGAAGGTGAAGTAACTTAGGGCAGCTCTCAGCAGAAAAGAAAATCCCACCATAGTCATTTCTGGTTTGCATAGAAATACTTGTATCTGATTTTTGTTTGTTTTTGTTCAACATCTAAAGCAAAAA